AACATAACATTGTCCAAAACCAATGGGGACTGGCTGATTTCACTATAGAAGTTGGTGTTTTATCATCATCATCATTAATATTTACAGTAACAACAATAATATAGTACCTACAACCTTCCAGGAACTGTGCAACGACTTTTAGAAATATCATAAAAAAAAAGAAAAATCATCTAATTTTATTCTCACAAGTTGGGGAGAGGGGCATACGACCAGTTGTTTTTCCTCATATTATAGTTAAAAAAAAAAACAAGTAAAACTGTCAAACTGTTGTTAAATGAATTCTCACAGTGAGGAAATGTCTGAGCACCTATATGAACTCAAACTGTCTGCCCTCCAGTCTTGGTGATCTATCATTTTTTTTTTAAATCCTCCTCTTACATCTGAACATATTGACTTAATTAAAAAAAATAATACATATGAATGTCTGAATATGTTGGGCCCAAACAATTTGTGTGACTTTTGGGAAATCAGTTCTCTCCTCTGAATTTAAAATGCATGAAGTATAAAATTGGGCAGAGGGAATGCTTACAGAAATTAATTAAAGAATTTTTATAAGGCAACAGCTTTGACAATTAAAAACTCATGATAAAGGATGTATAAGATATGGAATTGTAAGATCATAAAGATATAAGGTGAGTTTCTATGGAAACTTTGTTTAAATTATGGCTTCAGATTCCATCACTATGGATATCTCAGCACTGCCATAAGCAAATGATGTAATTTAAATTAGATATTTCAGTGATTTTGAGTTCTTCTGCTGGGCCAGTGCCCGACTTATAAATTTGCTCCTGATGATGATATTAAGGAATAAAATAGTGGATCATTAAAAGTGCAGATTTAAAATTGCATGTGACTCAAAGAAATTGAAAAGATTTTATATAGAGAGTGTAAGTGACTGGTAGCAAATAATAAAAAAATAAAATAATAAAAAGGGTATGCATAAAATAAGCCTCATAAAAAGATATCATCTAAGAATGGATGACCGAAAAATAGAGGTGTGCCTTTAAGGTATCAAGAGCTCTGATGTTGACTTCTCTCCTCTGAATATTAAAACACCAAGAGGAAAACTGTTATCTGGTTAGGGACAGACTCTCTGGAATGTTTCTGATAGGACACGGACATGTATTTCACACATACCTCTTTAATTTGGATGTGACCCAAAGCAATATGGGACGGCATGTACCCTGAAAAATACTCAGATTTAAAACTGAATTCAATGATTCTGCTGTATCTGATTTCAAAAGAGAAATTTAATAGGGATACATCCATCAATAGGAACTTTAAGCAACTTCTATATACCAGGCATTAGTACATAGCAGGGACAGTTTTGCACTCAATAAGCTTATATTTTAATTGGTGCAACTGAAACAACCACAGATAAGTAACTCATCTGACTCATACAATTCAAAATACATTTATGGAGTATCTACTGTGTGTAAGGTACAGTCTAAGTATGGTTTACATGAAGACAAAAATGAAAAATTGTTTCTACTTTCAAGGAACATACATTTTACTCAAGGATAATACTCAAAATATCATGGAAAAAAGATGGAAAAAGGGATAGATATAGATATAAACATAGATGTAGATATATATTTAGCTTGATGATGAAGATATAAATTAAATGAAAAAAATAATTATTAATTTATACTAATGCTACTCTGAGGAGCAGTATGGGAAGAAAATGGAGAATGATTCACTAGAATTAAATAAATTTGTCCAGAATAGAGAGAGACAGGATTCAAGTACACATTCTCTCAATTGATGTAAAAAAAAGCAACAATAACAACAAAAACAACAAAACAAACTTCTTTACTATCTACTCTGTTATATTTTCAAGAGAAAACAAGATGTACATTTTTGTGGAGCAAGCACTTTGGATCTTGGTTTTTCAAACATATTTTATTCAATTTGAATTTGCTTTTAAAAGCTAATGCCTGGTTCAGGCTTAGTTTCAGCAATTCTATGCCTCTTTATAGAGTACAATATGTTTTAGGCTTTTCTGAAGACAAAAGACTATGAATAGTTTCTTAAAATCCACTTATCTATGTCAATATGAAGGTGAACATCTGGTAGTTTGATATCTAATGAAGCTAGCTGGCAGGAAATACATCCATCACAACTTACTGCACTGGAACTAAGAGGCAGTGCAGGTACAAAAAGGACTGTCTTGGTCCACCTCTAACAGTTCTGAGGAGAGAGGATTGTTAAATTTTCAGTGAGAAAATTTATACCTCAGAAATTATCAATTATGTGAGGGTTTGATTTATGTTTTGTTGATTCTTTAGGCTTAAGAAAGTACTAATATTGATTGAATTTAAAAGTATATGTAAACATCTTTTCCTTCCCAGAAGCTCAGTTACAAATTTGCTATTATATATCTGTAATGCTTTATAACTGTTGTTGAGCTTTGTAGGAGTGCCATAAAAGGCTGAAGGAATGAAGTCATTTTCAGACTGGAGACTTGTGACTGGAAGCTAACCATCATTATCATCACCATCCCTATCATCACCATGGCCCTTCTTTATCTTCCCTTCCTGTTTGAGATTACCTTCCAATTCCTATTTATATCTCCTATATACCAAAGTATTTACATATTATCTCACCAATGAGAATGTGAGGTCTTTGATTTTTAGGATTGTCTTTTTGCATTCTTTTGTATCCTCAGTTATTAGCTCGATAGATCATATAAGGTTCTTCTTGAAAGCTTCCTAATACTGTTCTGAAAGACTGTTATTGACATCCAGTGTAAGACAGGGTCCAAAGTTGGCTCAGCTTCAATGAGAATAAATGCAATTCAGTATATTTTCTTCTTTTAAAACTAAACAAAAGTTTTACAAGGAGAGAATGTTTCATCACAAATGAACCCAACTCCATAGAAATCTAGAACCTCTTGCTGTTTTTCAGGGCACTTCTTTGACTTCCTAAATACTAATTATTCTTTTCATTGTTTTAAGTTTAGTGAGATTCCAATAGGCATTTTTTTCATTCCAAACAGGTTTTCTCTGTAATTAAGGTTTTGCAAAAGTAAATCCTATCTGCCAACAAAGGAAAGAGATAAGTCTTAACTGCACCTCAAAATGCAAAAAACTGCAGTCTCTAGTTATATCAATGAATTGAATCCAATGAAACAAAACATTTCCTGAGGTAATACCTTCCTTCCCACTCAAATTTTTATATTCTGAGTAAAGTTTTCCCTTTGAAGCAAGTGGAGTTAATCATTTATTCACCAGCACAAATTGAAAAAAATAAAGACTCCTGGGACATAATAAGTCCTTACTAATTGCTTGTTGACTGTGATGGAATCTGTGCACATTAATTGATTTTATCCACATACAATGGATCCAAAAAGTGAGACTCATAAATGGAGGAAAATTTGAAAGAGGCTTGATTTGAACCCAAATCCTACTGACTCAATTTCCAGTTCCCTATCACAATCCCATGCAAGCTTTAAAGTGAGCCTAAAAAATGGTTCAGTGTATTGTGGGGTGGGGAGAAGTGGAAACAATTACTTTTTTTCAAGTACCAGAAGGGGACTCAAGTGTAAGAGATATAAAAGGGATTATATTTCTTCAATATTTTTCCCTAAAAGACTGCACAAGGAATGAGAGATGGAAATCATAGTTAAACAAATGTAGGTTTTATATCAGGGGGAAAAAAAACAGGGACAAATTCTCACCATTACATCTTCCTAATAAGGAAATAGGATGAATTCAGGGTGACCATTCCCTCTATTCCCTCAGTATTTGAAGAAGAAGCTTTGTCATCAAGTGTTGAGCCTGCTAAAGCAGGGAAATAAATAACACCATGACTTAGCAAGCATTTGTTAGGGTCCAAGTACATTCAAAGAACTATACTTTTGTCTAACGTTGCAAACGTTAAACTTAGACTGCCTATGGCAAAGATCTGAAAATATCAACATGCCAACCAGCCTGTCAGTCATAAAGAATACATTAAGCACTTCATTTGTTCCAGACACTGTTCTCTGAATACAAATATAAGAAGAAAAAAGACAGTCCTTACCATTGAGGACCTAACATTCTAACAGGGGAAGGGAACCCATGAAAGGGAGGTGAAAAGTGGAGGAGAGATACCCAGACATACATAAGTGCACTTTCACAATGACAAAGAAGAGAAATAAAGTATATCCATTGGATGAGAAAATGGCTACAAATTATGGTACAAGAATGAAATATGCAATAGGATAGTACTGTACTCTAAGAAATAAGAAGTATAAAGAATTCAGAAAATCACGGGAACACTTATTAGTGAAGGAAAGATAATGAGAAAAACAATATTCACAGTCACTTTGACAATATACACAGAAAACTGATATTAAAAACACAGTGGAAAAAAAAGAACAGTATATAATTGTAATGCCTGAGTCTAACCCCAGAGAGAAAGTGAGGTAATGCACTTCTCTCTCTTCTCAGCAGAGCAATAACTAGGAGTAGGTGGGGAATACAATAGATAAAACACTGGACTTAAATCAGCAAGATATTGGTTTGAATTTTTTTGTATCAGACAATGACTATCTGGGGGACACTGTGAGAGTCAGGTATACACTATATTTGCCTAAATTCCCTTCTTTGTAAAGGGAGGATATTAAGTGCACTTACTTCTGAGGGATGTTGTGAAGACAAAATGTGGTGATATTTGTAAAGTGCTTTGAGAAACTATATCTAAAGCATGTTGCAAACCTTGATGGGCTATAACAACATTAATTATAATCGTTCTCATAGATGGATGACTATGGATATGGAATATTTCAAATATCTTCAGGCTTATTTAATATTTGGGTTTGTCATGTCCACCAAAACCTCTCTTAATGATTTACAGGGGGAAAAATTGGCCTAGGAAAATTCAATGTGGAAATTTATGAAAAGATTGTGATCTTTGCTACTGAAAGGAGTACGTGCATTGATTAAATATTAATCCATCAAAACATTTGTATCCTTCTGCTATATTTGAATGATTTTCAATTAGTAAGCTAACTTTACCCAAACAGTCAAAGGCATTCTTCTAATCCAGAGTTTCTTCATGGCATTTTTTACCTCTGTATTCCTAAGGGTATAAATCAAGGGGTTTAACATAGGAGTAATCATAGAAGCACATGCAGCTACAGCTTTATCTATAGGAAAAGTGACTACTGGCCTCACATATAAGAAAATGCAGGGAGCAAAAAACAAGACCACCACTGTGAAGTGAAAGCTGCAAGTGGAAAGGGCCTTTCTCCTTCCTTCTGAGCTCCCACCCTTCAGGGAAGAGAGGATAACAACATAGGAGACAACTAGTATGAGAAAGATTGACAGGCACATTACTCCACTATTAGCAATGACTAAAAGGCCAAGAACTTGGGTGTCCATGCAGGCCAGTTTCAGCAATGGGAACAAATCACACATGAAGTGATCAATAACATTAGGGCCACAGAAGGGAAGATGGGCCATGAAGAGAAGTTGTATGGTGGCATGTACTGAGCCTCCCATCCAGGCCGCTGCCACCAACAAGTGGCACACATGATGATTCATGACAGTCATGTAGTACAAGGGTTTGCAGATGGCCACATAGTGATCATAAGCCATGACTACAAGGAGGATGATTCCAACACCACCAAAAAAATGGGCTGCAAAGAGCTGAGTCAGACAGCCTTCCACAGAGATAGTTGTCTTCTCATAGAGTACATCCAAAACCATCTTTGGAGCAACAACCGAAGAGTAGATTGCATCCACAGTAGATAAGAAGTTTAGAAAAAAGTACATGGGTGATCTCAAAGTTTGGCTGGCAGTCATGGTTATGACAATGAGTATGTTTCCTATAATTGTGATAATATATATGAATAAGAAAATGACAAAGAAAATTTTTCTAAGCTCTGCACTTTGTGTAAGGCCCAGCAGAATGAACTCAGTTACATTGATTTTGTTCTCCATTTTGGTCAATCTTTTGCCAACTTCCTGATTTTCCCACAGTCTTATTGGTTCTTTCCTTTTGTCTTCATTTCTTCCTCTAATGAGACCTTGTTTATACCTCACCCAGAAAGTCCAGTTGTTTTAATTTTAAATTGAGTCAATCGTTAGTCTTCTGCATGGAACTGCTTATTCTGTTATCGATGAATGTTGTAGAGTTGGAATGAAGAGATACAACATCCTCAATGCTAAGGACTGTGATTCATCCCCTTTCATTTTAGAAGTAATTGGTGCTAGTAAATTTCTTTCATGGTAATGAGTTTGTGTGTAACCAAAGGACGGGAGAAATGAGTCAAAATCATTTTTGTCAATGATTAAAATACAACAGATTAATCTAACTCTAAGTTATTATTTTAAATTATATACTTAGAGTGCAACTACATATTTAACATTTTATTTGAAATTGTAGAAAAGGTTAATGAGTTTTTAAAGTCAAATGGGAAGGGAGGGTCTAAAAATCTTGCCTGAGATAAGGGAGTAGATAGAAAAATAATCTTGGAGTCAGGAAAACTTTCATGCACTGCTTCTTATGAGGTGGCTCTAGGCAAATAAGTGCGTCTGCAACTACCACGGTATCTCTGTAAGTGAAGAAGCCACAAAGCACTGGATGAAGTGGATGGGTAGTGGGGCTTCCTTGTTAGATTCCCAAATCCAATGAAATCATATGTCTGGTTAAAAAGAAAGAAAAAAAGTTCAAGAAGTATGAGTAATTATAACAATAACTGATACTTTAAAGTTCACAAAATGCCTTACCAACAATGCCTAATTTAAACCTCAAAATAATTCTGCAAGTAATTCTACAGACATCATTCCCATTTTGCAAATGAGAAAGCTGAGACCCAGAGAGGTTAAGTGATATACTCTTTCTTACCCAGCTGGAAAGTGCCAGAGGTAGCATTCAAACACAGGAATCCTGGCTCCAAGTTGAATTTTACTCATTGTGCCCTGCTAAATAGTGTAGAAAGGGAGGTCTCCTCAGGAAATGTTACTCAGGGGGCAGAGCCAAGATGGTGGAGTAAAAGCAGTGACTTGCTTGAACTCTCCCCCAAACCCCTCCAAATACCTATAAAAAATGACTCTAAACAAATTCTAAAGCAGCAGAACCCGCAAAAACACAAAGTGAAACAAATTTCCAGCCCAAGGCAACCTGGATGGTTCATTTGGAAAGGTATATCATGCCATTCTGGGAGAAGAACGCAGTTTGGCATGAGTGCGCGGGCCACAGCAAAGCTGGAGCAGGACTCAGAGTTCTGAATCATGGGCAGGTGTGGTGGTGTCCAGACTTCTCAACCCAAGAACACCAAAGACAACTTAGAAGGTCAGCAGGAAAAGTCTATGTTTGCAGTGAAAGAGAGAAGCACAGAGGTCTCAGTTCCAGTCCCTGAGGTTGGCCAGGGCTGGTGGCTGCCTCCTGAGCTTCCAGCCCACAGACTGAGGGGGAATCGAGTGACTGATCAGAAGGAGATTGTAGAGATCTCTCTGCTGGTGCAAGATTCTCTTGCTTTGCCAGTGCTTGGATCTGGGTCACAGTTGTGGGTGGAGGTCCTGGGGTGAAGAGGAGCTCTGGCGTGGTGGAGCTTGTAGTACTTGTGGAGAGGAAATCCACCTCACAGTTCCAAGACAGAAAAGAGTGCTTGTGGTCACTCATAGACCAGAGCACCAGCCAGGAAAGGAATAAACACCTCATTCTTGATCATACCACCTTGGAAGAACTGACAATTTACAGGTCCTCAGAAGTATCTCTGAAAATACTGCACAAAACCCCTGAAGTTTGGGACAGTACATTCTCCACACTGGAAACAGATCCCTACTTTAACAAAGAGTTCATAACTCAAGTAATTGGCTGGGATCATGAACAAGCAGCACAAAAAAAGTCAGACTATATTGTCTTACTTTGGTGACAAGGAAGATCAAAGCATACAACCAGAAGAAAACAATGAAGCCAAAGCTCCTACATCCAAAGCCTCCAAGAAAAATTTGAATTGGTTCCAGGCAATGGAAGAGCTCAGAAAGGATTTTGACAAGCAAGTAAGAGAAGTAGAGGAAAAATTGAGAGTGATGCTAAAGGAGAACCAAAAAAATACTGAAGAAAATAACATCTTAAAAAAATATCCTAACCCAAATAGCAAAAGAGGTCCAAAAAACCAATGAGGAGAAGAATGCCCTAAAAACCCAAATTGGTCAAATGGAAAAGGAAGTCCAAAATCTTACTGAAGTAAATACTTCCTTAAAAATTAGAATGGAAAAAAATTGGACGCTAGTAACAATTTTAGAAATCAAGGTACTGTAATACTAATCCAATAGAATGAAAAAAATAGAAGAGAATGTGAAATATCTCATTGGAAAAACAACTGTCCTGGAAAATGGATCCAGGAGAGAGAATTTAAAAATTATTGGACTATCTGAAAGCCATGACCAAAAAAAAAAGCCTACACATCATCTTTCAAGAAATTATCAAGCAAAACTGCCCTGATATTTTAGAACTAGAGGGCAAAATAGAAATTGAAAGAATCCATGAATCACCTCCTGAAAGAGATCCCCAAAAGAAAACTCTTAGGAATATTGTAGCCAAATTCCAGAATTCTCAGGTAAAGGAGAAAATATTGCAGGCAGTCAGAAAGAAACAATTCTAGTATTGTGGAAACACAATCAGGATAATACAAGATTTAGCAGCTTCTACATTAAGGGTTCAGTGGGCATGGAGTATGATATTCCAGAGGGCAAAGGAGATAGGATTACAACCAAGAATCACCTACCCAGCAAAACTGAGTATAATCCATGAGAGAAAAATGAATATTCAATGAAATAGAGAACTTTCAAGCACTCCTGAGAAAAAGACCAGAGCTGAATTGACAATTTGACTTTCCAATACAAAACTCAAGTGAAACATGGAAAAGGTGAAGGGGAAAGAGAAATCATAAGAGACTTATTAAGATTGAACTGTTTACATTCCTCCATGGAAAGATGATATTTGCAACTCATGAATCCTTTGTCAGTATTAGGTTTAGTGGGAGGAAAAAATCATATGTATGTGTAGATAGATAGATAGATTGATAGATAAATAGATTGATAGATAGATGGATAGATAGATAGATGGATAGAGGGCACAGGGTGAGTTGAAGATGAAGAGGTGATATCTGGAAAATAAAATTAAGAGGTTAGAGAGGATTATACGGGGAGACGGAGAAAGGGAGAAGTAGAATGAGGTAAATTATCTCACATGAAACAGACAAGAAAAGGCTTTCACAGTGGAGGGGAAATGGGGAAAGGTGAGAGGGAATTATTGAATCTTATTCTCATAGGATTTGGCTTAAGGAGGGAATAACGTACACAATGAGGTATGGAAATCTTTCTTGCCCTACCGGAAAATAAGAGGGGAAGCGGACAAGAGTGCCAGGGGTTGAAAGAGGGGAGGGTAGATTGGGGGAGGGGATAATCAAAAGCAAATACTTCTGAGGAGGGACAGGGTCAAAAGACAGAATAGAATAAATGGATGAATGGATAGGATGAAGGGAAATATTTTTAGTTTTTCACGACATGACTGCTATGGAGTTGTTTTGCATGACTATGCATGTATAATCTGTGGCAAGATGCTTACCTTTTCAATGAGGGTGGGTGGGGAGGAAGGAAGGGAGAAAATTTGGAAATCAAAGTTTTAAAAACACATGTTAAAAAAATTAAGTTAAAAAAAAGAAAGATTACTCAGTGAGAAGAAAAAATGCTGGACCTAAGGCAAGATATCATTTTTTTTAAATAAAGACTGAGTGGTGGGCAACTACCATGGTAGAACTGTTCACCAAAAGACTGTTAAACCTTCATTACCTATGATAGCCATGTAACCACAACTCATGGAGAGTCACTGCTCATTTTAGCATAAAATCCTAGATTCAGAGTCAAAAAGGGAGCTTAGAAGTCACCCAGAGGGCCCCATCATTTTAGAGATGAGCAAATTGAAGTGATCAGAGACACCAGCCTTACCCATGATCACACAAGTAGCTAGGCTTATGTTGGAAGTCACACTCAGGTTTTCTGATGCCAAGTACGTCAAGGTAATGAAAAAATGTAAACTTTCAATGTACTTATTTCATTATTCTATATGACTAGACTGAAATAAGAAATCAGGCAGAGTTATATCCTCAAAACTTAATATCTTTCAATTTGAAACTTTCCACTCATGTCAACTTTCCCATTATTCTCTAGTGTCTACTCATGCTTTCAGTCACCTAAACTGTCAACCTTGTTGTTATTGGCAACCCCTCTCTCCAAAACACCTCAGACAGTTTATTAATTGTCATATCTTGTCTTCTACCTTCATGACACCTTCCAGATACTTTTCCTTCTTTAAACTCCTATAGTCATTACCCCACTACAGGGACTCATCACTCTTCCCTGGTTTATTACAATAGCCTTCTGGTTAATCTCCCTGTCTGAAATCTGCTGCCAAACTGATCTTCTCTCATGAAGATCTAATCAGATTAAATATCCCCCTACCTACTTCCCATTCACCTACATATATATGCACACTCAAGAATCTCTCATTCTTCCCATTTTCTTTTAAGATCAATTATAAATTCCTGCATTTAACATTTAAATCCTTTCACAACCTTGATCCTACCTTTCTATTCTTCTAATCCCTTCCAATTAATTTACTATTCAACTATAATGCCCTACTTGCTATTTTTTAAGCATGCCATCATTCTATTCCATCTTTAACTTCTGGACCTTTATAGTGGTGGTCCTTCATGCATGGATTTTTTGCTCTCTTCATCCCCAATCCTTAGCTTTCCTAACTATATTCTAGACAGCTTGAATTCCAAATTCTGTACATGGACTTCCCATTCTCCCCAGCAACAAATTCATTTATTGATGTCTTTATCTATCTACATATACACACATACACACATATGTATATATTGAAAATAAATATAAATATATTTATATAAACATTTATAGAAGTATATAAT